GATGCTCTAGAATATATGTTTTTCCCGTCTCCCAAGGTGATCCCACATAAATATCGCCTTCATTAGGTAATGGTCTTACATATCTCTCCTCATATGTTTCTGTTGCTAAAAGGAGCTCATTATACTTGACCCAAGATGGCATTTTAACGAAAGCTTTAGGAAATCCTGGACCCTTTATCTTATGAAAGGCTTGTGGTAAATTTTTATTTTCTTGCTGAATTTTTTCTACAATAGATGGGTCACATTCAAAAACTTCCCCACGCTCATCACTATTTTGCCGAAAACATTTTACAATGAATTCACCACTTCTAGCGCATACATGACTGAACCACTGCTGATCCTTGTCATGTATACATTTGCAGAGTGGACACCCTAGTGGAGCTTTTCAGTTAAAATATACGAAGTTTTCTTTCGTCTCTTCATTTTCTTCGATAGTCCAATCTTTAAGATAATTAGAATGCTTTTGCAAAACAAGTTTCGCGTATTTTTGCAATACATCCTGATCTATGATTATTTTTAATGGATTATTGTTTTTTTCTTTACTTAGCATCTGAGGTCTTACTTCAAGTCCCAAACTAGAAGGCGGTTGAACCCTAACGTGATCAAGTTTATTCCAGCCATTATTTAAAGAGAATTGAAGAATACGCTTTATGCGATCTTTTTTTGCCGAACCAATAAGACGAAGATTAAAATTTTGACCAGATAATTTTCGATCAATAAACTTGCCGAATTTTTTCCTAGTTATAGTATATACTAAATCAGTAAATGCTTTGAGTTCGTGATGATCAATAAGAAGAGTTGGTGCATATAAAATATGGTAGCTACACTTGCTAGAGTCCGATGATGTAGCAATTACTAAACCATTGAGAATATCCTCCCAGCTACAATCAAGAATTCAATACAAGGCTCTTATAAAAGATAGGCAGATTCGAAAGAATACTTCTTGCGTCTTAACATCAGTTGTTTTCATATCTTCTTGTAAAGCATCTATATCAATCACGGCTCTTAAAGGTTTTTGGCTATTAATACATTCATGAATCCCGGGTAGGCCATATACTTCTGAAATATCATCTGCAACAGAAAATTTGGGAGCATGAT